TTAGGCATGGGCAAACCTGGAAGGTTACACAGCCTTACATAACTGAGCTCTGGGTTCTAGTGCACCTGCTCTGTAACTCAGTCCAGGCTATACGCTCTGCAGGATTTGTTGAACTACTTCTGCCAAACCGTCATTATCTTCTCACCTGGAGTCACAGAACAGGTTTTATATGCACTTTCTTTCTCTACAGTTCCTCTAGCAGTTCCTTCTAGAGCTGCTTCTCTACCTCTTGCCTGACTCAGGTGCTCAACTAACAGCACAGCACATTAGCCAATTCTGCTGCTTCTTAGCCTTTCCCTTGGCCTGCTAGGAAGCATGAGGCCAACCTGGCAGAGAAGAACTTCTCTGCAGGGCCAGTGAGCTGAAATGCTTCACGAAAGGACCACCACCAGTGGTGGCACAGGGAGAGGGAGACTACGCCCAGACACCTGCCTCTTTGGCGGGCGGTGAGCTGCTGAAGTGACTGCTTTTTGTGGAAAAACAGCCAGAGGGTGGTGGTGCTGAAAGTCCCCAACACCTCTAGGACATTACAGCTCTGTCACACGCTGTCACCCATCACCAGCTTGGTTCAGATTCAAATGACCCACCACTGAAGGAGAGTGGGTCCTTCAGTGGACCCACTGGAGTCCACCCTCCACCCTGGAGAGAGAGGGGACCGCCCCACAACCCACTCAACCCTTGGACTTTCTGCTGACTTTCTGCCGACTCTCTGCCGACTTTCAGCCTCTCCCAACTGTGAGAGGCTGTTGAGGAGGGAAGTGTGGCGTTGTGAAGATGAAATGAGTCCCAGGACTGATTATGGTTTCATACAAACCACTCAGTAACCACTATCTATCTACTTGGGAAGTGGCTGATCTGTAAATTCAGCAAATTCAGCCCATGCCAGCCAGGACTCTGAGCACAGCGATCTGCTCTGCAGCATGGAACCGGCGGCACCAGCCAAATTGTTGTCTTGTCTCTAGCTTCAGAGTTAATTTAAGGCCAAATTGATGGCTCACTTTATTTTTTTGAAACTAGAAAGGCTAAAATGAAACAGTGAGACAAGGAGTTTCATGGTACCACTCCAAAAGGAGCAGTTGGGGATCTCAGACCAGCTGCAGCGATGAATGGAGCTCGTTCAAGATGCATCATCAGTCTGCCACCCTTTTACCCAGACTGGCTTACAGACTGCCCCACACAGATCACAAACCTACACACAAGATGCTGTTGGCTTCTGATCTTGGAACAGAACATCCCAAAGGCTCAGCAAAGCCATCTGATACTGCACAATAGACAGCTACCCTTTCCAGGATGGTTCCAAACCTCTCAGCAGAGAGCCATGCAGTATTCGTTAGCTATGCTTGGCTAAGGCTTCCCGTGGCAAAAGGTTGCACAGGTACAAACGGTTTAGAAACACAGGGCAATGAATAAAACTGAAAGTGAGATAGAAATGGGCTTGTGCTTAACAGCATTGAGCGGCTGCCAGAATGTAAAGCTGTGTCTGCTCCGAAGGCCTGGCAATTTGTCACTAACCACTCACACTCCAGCAGCTGGCTTGTTTCTAATTTAGTTGGCTGCCATAAAAGAAGCCAATCTGGAAGTGAGATTTCTGTCTTTAACCGGCAGCCTGCAACCAGGCATTTTCACTCGTACAGAACAGTAAGTGTAGGTGGCAGACTTTGTAGCTCTAAGATTAGCAATAGTTAGCCTTCTGTAACTCAGTTCCCTTACGACGAGCAAAATCGGGCCATGAAGTCTCAAAATAAGGGTCATACCAAAGTACTGGTGGAGGGTCTCAGACCACCCTGCCTTCCCATCTTGTCAAATGAAAAAGAATCCCCAAAAGGGAAATATTGTGGAACTATCAGGTAGGACAGCCAACCTGCCACAAAAAAAGGGAAGAGGTCCTATCCCGAAAGCCAGGGTTCCACAGACACTGCAAGAAAAGGATCAGTAAGTAACAAGGCCATTTTCCTCTCAAGGCTTACAGACATGATACTAAATCTGATCCTTGATAAGAAGAAGTAGACAGAGAAATCAGACCTGTGGGCTAATACTGCAAGTTGCGAAAAACATACATGTGAAAGTTCCCATTTTGATATGTCAAGACTGCCATCAGCACCATCTTCTTTAGCCTGGAGAGAGAAGATATGCACCCAGAGAACTGGAACATGTGGAAACAAATGGCCTCTTGCTGCATGTTGACCCAACTGTCCGCTCTCTAGAAAATGTAATTACAGCTCTCTGCTGTAGCCATGTAATTAGGTAAAAATACCAGGAGCGAAGGGTGTGCTGCTATGACCACAGCAAGCAAAAGCAACCGGGAAACCAAACTCAAGCGACAAAACCCCTTTTGGTGCTATAAATGAATTTCTGCATGAAGAGCCAAAGAACGTCTTAATTCTGCAGTTTTAATAAAGAGCAAATGAAAGGAAATGACGGGTTCTCAAGCACTGAGAGGCACTTCCTATGAGCAACAGCAGCACCATTCCAGCCTGTGAAGAACCAGCTGTACGACTGGCACATCCCACCCAGCATATGGATGCACCCAGCACACTTCTTTTGTGTTCAGAATTGTATGTAGAATATAGAGATTGTCTCTGTAAATAGAGACAATCAGAATTTCAGCAGCTGTCTTTGCTTAGGCCTTTCTTTGGCATGATCAAACAGGTGGATCCCAGCACATCTCCACAGTGGAAGTATTACTGAAAGTAGCAAAAGCCTTGCTTTATCTCTGAGATGCATAGATCGTCTTCGTCATCCCTGTGCAAGATGGATTAAGGCAAGCTGGAACAGGTGCAGAGAAACGCTATTGGGTGATCAGGGGAATGGAGGGCCCACTCTAGGACAGGAACTAAAAAAAGCTGCAACTGCATCAAGAGATCAAGCACCAGAGGCAAAGACAACCCATTTAAACTCAGAGGCAATTCTGGCACAATAAGCAATTGTAAAATATTCAAGAATAAAGACCGACTAGACATGTGAGCAGCGCTGCTGTGTTCACTTTCTGGGACAGGTGAGGACAGGCAAGACCCTAACAGGGTACAAAACACAGGTAACTGTTTGAAAGGGACTGCGTGACTACTGAGTACAGCAGGGCCTCCTCTGGCAAGGCACATAGCCTGCCCCAGCATGGTTTTGGGAAGTCAGTGGGATTCTAGACAGACACAGGAATTGGGCTGCCTGAGGAGGGCTTACTTTGCTTCTCAGATCCGCTGCTACCGGCTCTGACCTTGAACATTAGGGTAGGGTTTGTCTCAAGTTAACAAAACACTTGATTCCCTTGCTTTCTAGACAGGAACAGAGTCGCACAGGAAGAGTTTCCTAATTTTAGTATGCGGTGAGGTGAAGAGATTCTGCTTAAATATCTAATAGCTTAAAAGCAGATTTTTATAGGCTTATAAAGCTAAATCAATTCCTAGTAGTTTAATAACTGCCTGAAAAGCCAAAATAACCTAAATATATAAAAACTCTGACCACAAACCAGAGCTGATTGCTGCTGCCCTAGCCACATGCAGAGGTGAGCTATCTGCCATCCCTGGCACTTACAATCTTCACCCAGGCTGGATGTCTCCAGCCTCTAACTAAGCTCCTACTGCCCTTGAGAGTCATCCACGTGATCAGGATGTGCTATACTCCATCCCGGGATTACAAGGCAGGCAGAAATAGTTGTTCTGGGTCGCTATGGGATTGACAGCTGGAAAATGTTTTTCTGTTAACTCAACCGGACAGACACCAAAGAAGCCGCCTGATTCACATGTAAAGGGAAGAGACGTTGAACCAGAAAGAGAAAAGAGCAGATTGCCGTAAAATGCCTTGTGAAATTAGGACTGGAGGTGGGTGAAGGAGCTACGGAAACCAGAGTCACTTCTGGAAGAGGACTTTGAACCAGAAGGGGAGAAAGAGGGGGTGAGTCAGTGGATTTAGGAGGAAAGGCAGAAAGCTGAGGCTGGACAAGAAATGGGGAGACCAGCTGGTAATGAGATGGGAAGCAGTCGGGATGCTGAGAAAAAGGGCCTGGGACCAGCTAAGCAATAAGATGAAGGAGGTAGTGAGTGAAGGAGGCATCTCTCTAGCCTGAGACTGCACGAGAGATGTGGGCAGAAACCGACAGCATGGAACGAGTCAGGTTGGGGATTGCTGGTGAACAAGGGCCCACAAAGACAGCTGGCGCAGGGGTGACTGAATGGCATGGTGGTAAGACTGGGGTAAGATAGAGAAGAGAGAGGGGAAATGTAAAAGCAGAACTGTGAGAAGATGAAAGGATCAGAGACTTGGTGAATGACGAGTTTTAAATGTCAAAACCTACTTTAGTGAGAAGACATGTCAAATCTGCAAACGGAGAAGCTGTCCTCTCTAAAGAACATTGGCTTTTTACGCTCTGCAGGCCCTCATCAAGTGAGAGTAGGGCTCATCAGTCAACAGAAGGAAGAGCCTCTGGGACATACATGTATTTGTCACCACATTTTATATGCTGTAATTTTTATGTTAGCCATCTAAAGAACTATCTGTAAGCCTGTGGGACAGCATCCGCCCTGCAGTAGATGAGTGTTCATGACTCATAAACAGTGTCCCTAAGGATGCCAGTATTTGGTCTTTGTAGGCACCTGCTCTGCCTGCCTAAGCGGTAGCAACTCACACACATGGCTGGGGCGGGGGCACAGGGGAATGGCCACTGTGCATTTTACAGTCTGCAGCTGTTTGAACATTGAGAGTAAAATAAAAACAAAACTCCAATGTTACTGTCAAATGTAATCAAAGTGAAACAGCAACATGGCTATATAAAAAGACGCAAAGCAAGCCCCAATTTTTAAAACATTCTGGACGTTATAAATATGGCATGGCACTGTAACACACAAGATGGGGGCTTGAAAAGAAGAAAGATTTTATTTCCTCTGGGAAAATATGCTCGCTGCAGTAGTGAGCCAGTGTCTGGGGTCTGAGCAGGATGCCCGCAGAGATGCTTCCTTGTCAGGAAGGACAGAGCTGTTACCAAATGCCTCCTAGGTAGCAGCTGCTGCTCACTGAGAGGAAGCTTCTCAAGTGACGGCAGTCCCAGCAGTGGCAGCACTCCCTATAGCCCAACACGCGGTGCAAAAATAACCAAGGAGATGGAAGGCCAACTACAGCTTTGTAACTTACTGTTCTGCAGCACATTCGGTTTTTATGCTTGTGAGCTGTCACAACACTGACAAGGATGTTGTTCCACCTCCCTGTGATAACCAGGCTCTGCCTGACCCTGGCAAGGCCCTCCCCCGGCAGTTCCCAAGCCAAACTTAATCTCTTTGTCACCAGCCCAAGATATAAGTTCTTTCTCTGCCTCTCATTTCCCCCCCCACCTCATTTTCACTACTCTCTTTTCCTTCTCTTAGGAATCCCCTCCGGTGTCCCCCTTCCACTTTCCCCAAAGCTTCCACATGCTCTCCCAGTACTTTCTTGATCCTCCTCTTCTTTATTATCAGCCAAAGTTGTGCTGTGTTGTGCTTGAAGGCCTGAGCGCTGCCAGCACTGGCCCTGAAAGCTGGCAGCAGCAGCAACAGTGAGCAACCTCTCCTTTCTCCTAACAAATACACCCGCAGCTTCAGCCAGCGCCTTCTCCCGGACTCCCCACTTCACCCCTGGAGGCAACAAACGCAGCCGCGTGGCTTCGCTCGCTCCTGCTTTCCAGGAGCCTGTCCGCAGCCTGCGCGACTCCGTGCGCCCACGGAGCTCCGGCCGCAGCGAGGGCTCCGCCAGCCCGATCTGCCCCCACCCCCGCAGCAAAACGCTCCCGCAGCGGATGCGG